GCACCACGAAGAGGAAGCGGACGGGGAGGGGCATGTCCAGGACATCGTCCAGTGTCACCGCGTCCTTCAGGCGCACGAAGGCCAGCGTTGGCTGCTCCAGGAAGGCTGCACAGCCTGGGGGCAGGACGGGACGGGACGGGGGTCATGGGGGACCAGGCACAGGGACACGAGGACATGGGAGCACAGAGACATGACATGGGAGCACAGGGACACGGGGGTACAGGGCCATGGGGACGGGGGAGCACAGAGACAGCAGGACATCGGAACACGGGGACATCAGGAATGGAGACAAGGTGACATACAGGCTTGGGGATGTGGGGGGACAAAGAGAATGGGATAGGGGCACAAAGACATGAGGACACAGGCACAGGGATACAGGGACATGGGGACACAGGGATAGATGGACGTGGGAGTACAGGGATATCAGGGCACGGGAGCACAGGGACACGCAGATAGGTGGGCATGGGAGTACAGGGACCTTGGGGCACAGGGACATGGGGGACTTAGAGACATGAAGACATGGGGAGATGGAACATGAGGACAAGGGACATGAGACAGGGACCCAGAGAGCAGCGCTGAGCAGCAGCAGGCGGCGGCGAGAGCTGAGGATGGGGAGAGGCAAAAACAGTGCAAGAAAGGCAGGGCGTGAGCGAGCACAGCGAGGGGCAGATGGCAAAGCTCCCCCTGCACCCCCTGACCCTGTACCCACCTCCCTCAACCTGCACCCATCCCCCTGACCCAAGCCAGCACCCACCACCCCACTGACCACTCACCCACGAGGACCAGGGTGGCCTCAGCATCCTTGGGGATCTCCTCTTGGAGTTGGGGTTTGGAGGCCCCACTCTATTGCAGGCAGATGGATGGTAGGAATTAGCCAGCCAGCCTTGGTGGCTGTCCCTGTGGCCCTCTGTGCCCCCTGCACGTCCCCCCTCTGGTGTGTTTCTCTCTGTCCCCTGCATGTCACCCACTACCCCCTGCACGTTCCCCTCTGTCCCATGTCTCTCCCTCTGTCCCCTGAATGTCCCCTTCCATCTCCTGCCTGTCCCCCACCACTCCCTGAGTGTCCCTCTCTGTCCCCCAAGTGTCCCCCACCATTCCCTGCATGTCCCCCTCTGCATGTGCTGCACAAGCACGTTTGAGTGTGCAACTGCTGTGTGCACCTACGTGTGCCAAGGTGTGTGTTCACTTGTGTGTGTGTGTGTGTGTGCACCCTGTGTGCATCTCACACCCCCAGCCCCACGTCCCAGTGCCCCCCAGTGCCCCTCCATGCCCCCAGTACCTGCTCAGCCCCTGACAGCTTGCTCATTTCCATG